AATAATAATAAATAAATAAAACAAAAAAAATACCAAATGTAAATAAAAGAAATTAATTAGAATAAGTAGCTTAAATTACTTTTAAGAGGTCTAATTAAAAGAAATAGGGAGTTTGAGACCTAAAGAAATGATTGAGGGTAAACTTAAAAAACCAAAAGCCCCAAATCCTTAATATAAAAAAAAAATGATACAATTGAAAGAAATTTAAGAAAATTTTCTAATTAATTATAATTTGAGGGTGCCATTGAAGTTCAAACAATCCAAATTGCACTCAATTTGATGAATTAGGAGGATTTAGGGACTAAAATTAATTTTTACCTAAAAGCCCTAATTTTTCACTTATAAATACCCATCATTTTCTTCGCACCCACTATTACTTATCTCTCCCAAAATTTTCTAGCCACCATTTCACTCTCTAACTGAATTTTTTAGCTCACCCCATCATTAAAGACCACTCACCACCATTCCTCCATCATCCAAGCTACCACCATCCATTAAAGGTATCATTAGTCTATTCTCCTAACTTTGCCAACCACCATAGCACCTCTACACATCAAACCACCCTTCATCACCCATAAAAACCCCCCATAAAACCCCTCAAAAAACATCTATATAAAAAACACTTATAAACCCTAAAAATCTACCAAACACGCCTTACCCTTCCACCAAACCCATTTACTCGGTAGACTCACCGAAGTTCTTCTCTCAAATCAGTCATCCTCTAGCCAATGCTACCTCCAACCATTACCACCAATCGATAGCCCAACTCCATATCAACCCATCTTCACTAGTTAGAGAAGAAGAAGACATCGAAGGAGATAGAAATTGAGGATAGAACCATAGTGACTTGACTTGGTTTTGTACATAGTTAAATCTCTTATTCTAGCCAAACCACCACTTACCACCACTATGGAAATGTTTCTCACCCTTCTAGAAGTGGTTCCCTCTTGAATTCACAACTTAACACCGCTAGAAAATAACGAATCGACACCAAATCTATTTCTCGACTCGTCTATGAAGATCCAACCAAATTGGACCTACTAATCACCATAAAAACACTCCTTATAGTCTCCTAAATTGATTGGTGTCCTTAAAACCCCCTAATCTTCCTAGAATCTACATCGAAAGAGAGAAAGAAACAATTAAAACATTAAGGTCATCAATCTCTATCTATCAACGTTGATGGTTGCCATCACCATAAACAACTTGATGACAACCTCCTCCATTGTGTGGGATATTCCACACACTTGAAAGACTCGCTAGATGGTGATTAGACAGTCGACAATGACTCGTTAGGGTTTCAAAGGTAGTTTGGTAATTTTGAAGTGTAGGGGTATTTTTGTATTTTTACATACAAAGACATTTGTGTCATTTAAAAAATGACTAGAGGCATTTCAATCATTACATAATATCCTTTTTAACACTCATAAATAGTTGTTTTCTCCTTCTAGATTGATTCATCGAGATTAAAGGAAGTAAAACTAATTATTTTGTGACAATCAAGCAACACTCCATATAGCTACTAATTAGTCTTTCACGAACAGATTAAGCAAATTAAGATCGATTGTTATTTTATTTGACAACTCATTCAGTCCAAAATTTTGTTACCATAATCGATTTCTTCTTATTATCAATGAGTTGATATCTTTAACAAGGCTCTTAGTAGGAATCGGTGTCTATCATTGGTGGATAAGTTGTGTATTTTCAACCTTTAAAGGAGATTATTTTAGGAATCTATTTCTTAAAATCTTTCTATATATATATATATATGGGTAATTTATATTGTGTATATTAGTTTCATTATATAATCTAGCTTAATTATAGGAATGATTGATCTAAACTCTAGGATCACGATCTCTGTAAACTATATATATTTTTTGCTTTTTAATAACAAATTAAGAAAAAGAGGACATTTTTATATTCCTCAAATTCTTCAAACTCTTCACGTCCCTAGGTAGGTTGCTACTGACTTTGTACCTTAGTTATACCAGCAAGTTTTTATACCACGCTCACATAACATATAATGAGAGTTATTAATTTTAAAACCCTTAACACGATGCACAACAAAACTCTCAAATCTACAATTTTAATTCATAGATAACCGACGACTATAGACTTATACAATTGTTTAAATAGTCTATCTTAGTTGACCAAGAGCTAAATATGAAAAAACAATCAACATCAAATCTATAAATAATTAAATATTATGCATAAATAAGAAAATTGATAAATTAGAAAATTATAATTTTAAATCGGATGCAATATGGGCATGATATGTGAGGCAAGTCACTAAAAAAGTCTGAAAGTTGGCCTTTTAAAATGGACTTCGACCTCAAAAATGATTTAGGACAACTTCGTGGTTAACATCAAGCTAGGAAGCTCTGAATTAGCATTTTGTATTGGGTTTATGGACCCTAATTGTACTTCCCGATCAAATGCGATGGCTTGTCAAGTTCAGTGCTCGTTTGTTCTTCTAGGCTGACTTCTTCGACTTTAGTTTATCAATCTAGTCTGTGTACTTATAAGCTCGACGTCCCACTTTAGATGGACTTTAATTGTAATTTTTTTACATGTCCCGGTACCTATATTTTCTCTTCATTTTATCTTTCAAACTATATGCTTTACCTTTATACTTTTTAATATATTTTCTTTATAACTTTTTTTTACAACTTTCTTTATTACTTTGGGTGCATGATTACCCTAATTCTGTTAGATTTTTCTTCCCCAAAAAAATTTAGTTTATTATGTTTTTCTATCTTAAAACCTTAACTATCTTTGCTTTTGAAATTCAATTATTTTTTAATCCACTTTATTTTATTTTACTTTACTTATATATCTAAGAATGAATTTCATCGACAAGATAATTGTCGCATCTTCAAATGTGAGAATTAAGTATTATTATTGTGAAGAAGAAAATTTACTTGGCAACAAATAGTTAAAGAAATCCAAACATGGACATTTTTAGTAACATTGATTTGGCCGGTGGATGAACTGTAGGCTTACTTTCCCGTGATCAGAAAGTTTTAAGTTCATATGAATGAAACTCAACGTTTCACAGTAGCCATGGTAACAAAAAGAAGTTTGGTCCACTATTATTGTTGGATCTTAAACGACGCTCTGCCTTTGACAGCATAATAACAAGAATTTTTCTTTGTTTTCATTCAAGATAAAGAATTTTAAAATAAAATGCAATATATAATCTCTTTTGGATTTTTCACATATATAGTCTTTCAATTTTTCGAATTATTTTGATTACAATTCTGTATTTTTTTCATATTTATTGAACTTCTACTTTTCATATAATTTTGTTCTCATCCCCCCGCTATAACGCTCCTAGTTATAAAGTGATGTAGTGCTGATGTGATGCGTTTACTTTTAAAAACACATCATATATTATACGTAAGACTCTAATAGAGAAACTTAATAAAGACAATTAAAGAATATAGGACTTCAATCAAAACAATTCAAATAGTACAAAGATGTTTAATGTTACAAAACTTGTTATATGTGAGACCCGACAACGAGTAAAAATCTAAAGAGTATTTAAAAAAAAAACATATTATAATAATTTAAAAATAATAAAATATATATAAAATGAATTTAACATGCAATTAAAAAGAAAAAAAAGTACAAATATGTTGGTCAAAATGAAAATAAAAACAATAACAATATTGATTAATAGTTAATTATCTATTTTGTTTCATGTTTTCTTTTTTTTCAAAGAGCAATCCTATTTTTTTACTTTGAATTGATCATATATTTGTATTTTCTAACTTTGTATGGAGGATCAGACTCATTTATTAAAGGTCTCGTTACTATTCAATATTACACATCACCATATTTTTATTTTAATAATTACATATTAATTTTTAAAAATATTGGTTTATTATTTTTAATTCGTTATAACAATATTTTTTTAAAAAAATTAGAGTTTACTCGTAATGGAGTTTCACATATGACACATTTCATACATTTATTATAATTTTTTTTTCTTTTTGAAAAAAAAAACATGAAAATTTTAAAAAAATCATTTGGCCCTTGTATTTTTTTTTTTAATTATTTTGGTTAAGCTCTTTTATTAAAGTCTCACGAACGACAAGTGTTATATTTTTAGAAATAGATGCACCACATCAACTCATAACTAATGACACTAGAATAAAGAGATTAAAAACAAATCAAATGAAGAATAAAAGAACGCAGTCAGTACAAAAAAATGATATATTGTTTCAATCAAAACAATTTGGATAGTGAAACCACCATATATGGGAAAAATCTAATCTCTTTTAAATGCATTAATATGAATGTTAGAAGCTTGCTTAAGAATTAAATAAGGGAGGAATTTAATCTTAACGTGCAAACTATAATTAGTTGTGAAGAAATAGAGTAATACTCTAATTTTTTAAATAAATAAAGTAAAAAATAAATAAATAAACTAGAATTCCTATGCAATTGTAATATTTCTTCATCCAATTCTTTACATTTGTGTTTAATTTGTTAACATATTTTTGATGTTTTTTCTCTAGGAGTTTTTTTTTTTTCATTTTTTTCCAACTAAAAGCAACCTAAAATGATAAATATTACAATTTTTTTATTGTATATACAATAAATTTTCAATATAAAAAGTTAAAATTATTTTTCTCTTCAACTTTCATAGTTGTTTAAGGTTATATATATATATATAACCTTAAACAACTATGAATCTGACTATATATATATAGTCAGATTAAATATAAAAGATTAAAAAAACAATTACAAGCTTGACACATGTCTTATTTTTTGAAGTAAAGAAACTCTTATCTATTTTTCACAAATAAACAAATTTTCTAATTCTTCATTGAAAAAAAAAAAAAAAAAAAAAAAAAAAAAAAAACTGAAAAGGAAAAGGGAAAATAGTTATCTATCAAGGCTCAAGAGATTTCCTCATTTCTAAAATAGATTTTGATAAGTGTAGCAAGGGGGCGGTGGCGCTAAATCAGAACGAGACTGGGTGACTCGTTATAATGGATGGACCTGTGGTAGTTTGGCGCTTTCCCTATTCTAAGAACCTTCAAATAATGAAACTTTCTGCACTGCAACCACTCAAAAAACACAAACACAGATTACAGGTATGCATGTTTGTCTCTCTTTTCTCTTTCTTTTTCTTTACATTTTAGTTAAGGATGACAACATGTATCCTTTTTTCTTTGTTTTTGATATTGGGAATGTGGTGGCGATCAAGTCCAGGCTCAAATAATTGATGAATTCCTTTTCATTTAAATCGGTTTGATCATTTACAGTTTTTTTGTTTCCTTCTCAGCATCATGTTTCCATTTCCTTATAATTAATGTGACACACAGTGAAGAAAATTATCTTACTTGGATTATCAATATTCTTGATGATGCTTTCATGACATTTAGGGTGCCTAAAAAGTTTGGAGACTCTTATCCAAATTTTCCTCTGATGCTATTGCAGGTATATATGGTAGGTAACGATATGAAGGAAAGCAATCCAACAGAATACACAAGAATGCAAATGATTTGTTAAGTTGACTTTCAATACCAAACTTATTTGAATTCTAATCGTTTTTAGTTTCCCATCTTTGTATTATGGGATTCATTTTCCATTTTTCCTTTTCAAACTCGTGCCTGAGACTTAATATTGGTTCATCTTTAGGATTTTAAGACATTTCTTCAAAGTTTGAAATACATTAAATCAGGTTCGTGTGTCCTTCCAATTCTTTTGTGCTCTGTTGTGCTGACTGTACCACTCGTAGCCTTCAGGTATGTGTTTTCAGCAACGTATAATTTTATATGAGTTACTTTCATATATAATCAAATCTTAATCTGAGTTCTAGCTAGCCTGCTTGGAGTTCAAGTGTTAGATCCGAGGTTTTATGAATTTCAGGAGTGCTCAGCTGGTTTGATGTGACATCTATCTGCGATTCTTGTCATCATGCTTTTGTCTTTTGACCGTTGGTGTAGAAGAGATGCATAAAAAAAATAGGATATCTGTGAGATTTGGACATATAGAAGAAGAAATCAAAATATAGCACACTTCATTTACTTTAATGCTGATTAGGCTGAGGATAATTCTTAATTTATGTGAATTTTGGAACTGTTGCCCGATTATATGAGTATAAAATAATTTTATGTCATCTTCCAAAGGAAATATAGAGTGGTGATCAAACAAAATTAGAAGCCCACCTGGACTCAATATAGTAAAAGGTAGTCTTTGTTTAGCTTCTATTCTACCTCTGGGGACATAGAAAAGGCATATTCTCTTTGACAAGCATGTTCTCGCGGATGCTGTGTCCTATTTGACGGCACTAGCTCATTTTAGCTATTACTGCACAACTAGGATATCAAATATATAGGTCTCTTAATTTGGCTTCATATTCTGACCCCTTTCCTTTCGGAATTGATTTCCTGGCTTTCAATTCACAGTTGGGAGGATCACATAGGCTCTGGTTTCTTGAGGTTTAAAGCAGTTCAACTTATGAAATAATTTGTCTTTCAAGAGCTTGCCTAGTTGAGAGTTTTAATTAGAGATAGGTGCCATAAGTTCTGTTGGGTAGCTAGGTTCACATCTGTAGCAACTCGTGAAGAAGCATGCTTGGCATGCGTTCTTATGTGCAAGTAGCTTTAACAAGTTGGAATCACTTTCTATTGTTTCACTTTCCACCCTGGCCTGGAGAGATGCAAACATGAAAATTTTGTTTTCTTCTTTTGGTATTTAAGCACGAATATTGTTTTCTTGCCTATCAATAGCATTCTCAAATTAGAGCATAGAAGTACTAAAAAAAAATGTTAAGTGGAGTAATTTGTAATTATTATATATTCTAAAGTTTTCAGTAGCCTTTTGCATTTAATCTTCCAGTCATGCAAATCAATTCTGGCCTCGAATCTGCTAAACATGGTCACTACCGCCTACTTCCTGATTCAGAACCTTCTTTGGCCTCGGAAAATGATCTGAAAATTGAAAGAAAGGAGACACAGCACAAGGAGGCTTCTCAAGAAGAATTGCCAAGACTGAAGGTGCAGGATGTTTCTGTTCGTAGGAAGACTCGGATCAACAAGTATGCTCTCGCTGGAGCAATTCTGGCCTCCACAAACTCTGTTCTTTTGGGCTATGGTGAGTTGTATGTTTTCCATTGCAATTGAGATTTCCTATTCATGCGATGACTTCCACCTACATACTAAATCACACCATGAAAGGGAGGAAGGAACTTAAAATAAATATATATTATAGCAAAGAAAAGGAAGGTCGGATTAAGGTAAATAGCAATATTGAATTTAGTACTATTTATTTGTCTGTTTTTGTCTCTAATTTTTTGTCATAAATTGTTATATGCAGACATTGGGGTGATGAGTGGTGCAATACTTTACATTGAGGACCACCTGAAGATCACACCAATCCAAGTGGAGTTCTTGGTAGGTTCCCTTAATGTATGTTCATTGATTGGATCGCTAGCTGCTGGTAGGACATCTGATTATATTGGAAGGCGTTACACCATTGTCCTAGCAGCAGCCACTTTCCTTGTCGGTGCACTTCTGATGGGATTGGCTCCATCTTTCATGTTCCTCATGGCTGGAAGGGTAGTGGCTGGCATTGGTGTTGGCTTCTCCCTAATGATCGCTCCAGTCTACACCGCAGAACTCTCCCCAGCCATGACTAGAGGCTTCCTATCTTCTCTCCCTGAAGTCTTCATCAACATTGGAATTCTACTAGGTTACATCGCTAACTACAGTCTATCAAGTATTCCACAGAACATAAACTGGAGATTAATGCTTGGACTTGCAGCGTTCCCAGCTATAGGAGTTGCATTAGGTGTTATGGTGATGCCCGAGTCCCCTCATTGGCTTGTCATGAAAGGCCGATATGATGAAGCAAAGCAGGTTCTAATCAAAACCTCAGAATCCACGGATGAAGCAGAATTGAGACTAGCTGAAATGATAAAAGCTGCTACAGATTTGACGAATGCGGCTTCTTCAAGCAATTGGCGTGGCCAGGGGGCTTGGAAAGAGCTACTGTTCTCCCCATCTCGTCCCATTTTCCGTATTCTCATTGCCGCTATTGGAGTTAACTTCTTCATGCAAGCTTCAGGAAATGATGCTGTAGTGTATTACAGTCCAGAAGTGTTCAAAGATGCAGGAATCCAAAGCAAGAAACAGCTTATAAGTGTTACAATCATCATGGGAATAGCCAAGACATCATTTGTTTTGGTGTCAGCAGTTTTCTTAGACAGGCATGGAAGGCGACCCCTCTTGTTGTTGGGCTCAAGCGGAATGGCTATTTCATTACTTGGGTTGGGTCTAGGCTCCAATTATCTTGAGCAGTCAAACAGTAAGCCTGTATGGGCGATTGCATTATGTATAGTGGCTATCTGTGCTGCTGTATCCTTCTTTTCAATAGGGCTTGGGCCAATTACATGGGTCTACTCATCAGAGATATTTCCTACAAGGTTAAGGGCCCAAGGTTTAAGCTTGGCAGTATCCGTGAACAGGTTGGTAAGTGGGATCATGACCATGACATTTCTAAGCATTTCAAAGCAGATAACATTCGCAGGTATGTTTTTTGCACTTGCAGGGATTATGGCAATGGGGAATGTTTTCTTTTATTTCTGTTTGCCTGAAACGAAAGGCAAGACCTTGGAAGAGATTTGGGTTCTCTTTGAAGATAACGTCCATGAAAATCAAAAAATCATTGGTTCATAACATTATTGAATGCCCAAATTACAGTTTCGAGTATAGATTATAGAACACCTTCCATTTCAATTGGAAGCAAAAACAATTTACGGTTTGGATTATGAGGGGAAATGGGATGTGTCTAGGGTTTTACATGAGTACTTGTATATTTGATTGAAAGCCGGCCATGCTAAGAATTTCAATTTCACATTTTAGAAAAAACATATTGTTAAGATAATCTGTTTTAACAAGATATTTGAATCAATAATATTTCTGTCATGAATTTCTCTGGTTATTCTTATGATTTCCTCAATTAAAATCGTGCTATGCAGCTGATATACGTGGAATCATATTCAGATTCTGGATAAACATTTTGATGTCAAAAATGTTTTTTTTTTTTTATACATTTTTGTTTTCAACACTGATAATATATTGCCTTCATGTATACTACGCATATATAAATTGGAAGACTTAAAAAGTGATTCTCTATCAACCTGCCATATATATAAGTTCAACTAATATGTCAAGCTGTCAAATAAACAAAGTTTAACCAATCAAATCATATTTTATCCCGTCAATAAAAATTTACCATATGTGGTGGAGATTAATTGAATTTGAATTTTCTTGTTTAATTTTTTTTAATTATGATTGTTTATATTATTTGAAAATAAAGCCTCTTCCACTCCCTTGAAAATATATATATATATATATATATATCTAACAAATAAATTATTTTTATATGCGATGGACATTAATTGGATTTAAATTTTCTAAATTTTTTTCCATATATAGTGGACATTAGTCGAATTTAAACTTTCTATTTAATTTATGTTATCACAATTGCTTAATTGGATTTAATTTATATTCTTCCACTCCCTTAAGAAAAAAAAATCAAAATCAAAATTATATGTTTATAGATCAACCGTGTCCTGAGCTAGGTTTGTAATTGGACCAGACAAGTACCTTTTGGGTGAAGAATTAAGAAAAAAATTACTCTTATTTTTAACATAAAAATAAAAAGAAAAAATAAATCTATAGATCATCCCGCATAGGGTCCAGATATTTGATCATGTGATATCCTGAGTCAAATTTAACAAATACGATGGAAAATAACTTCGGTGGTTAAATAAATTAATACACAGTAAAAAATTTTCAGGATAGAGTAAATTATAAATTAGTACATTTAGTTTTAAAAAGTAATTAATTAGTTTTTCTTGTTTCAAAAAATTATTGTTTAATTATTTAATAAATATTGATCATTTTTAATTTAATATTATTTTTATTCTAGAAAATCGCTTATGTTGTCTTCAATCTTTTTATATTTTTTAATTCTTAAAATAAAAAATTAAAATAAATTAAAAACGAGTAAAAAAAATTAAATTACAAATAGATTTCAAAATATGAGGACTGAATGATTAGTTTTTAAAATAAAAAAGAATTAATTAATTTTTTCAAAACAAGAGAAACTAATTTATAATTTACTCCATCATACTTGGGTCACAATCTTTAAAAGTTGAAAAAAAAAATAGAAAACAGAGTTGGAAGAATGCAATTGCATAATTGTTTAGTTGCTGGATAATTCATGCAAGCAATTGCATAGTTTTTCCATTAATTTTGTGAAGAAATCTATGTTAATTTTCAATTTAACCTATGCGTTTTAGGGTGAACTAGATATTAACCCTCGCTTCGCTGCGGGTTTATTTTTCTTACCGTTTTTGCAATGCTGCAAGTGCAATGGAGATTTGAAAAAGAAGGTTTGGTGTTTTTATTTTTTTCGGCTCATCTTTTTTTCTGCTATGTAATTGTGTCTTGCAACGTCAAAGATACCTGTTTTCCCTCACCTTATTAGGGGTAATACATCAGAGCAAAGAAGGTATGCACATATTGCCATTCTTCCTCTCTTGGCTAGAAAGGCCTTTTGGAACTGAAATATCTGATTCTTTCAAATTGCCATGCTTCTAGATTTTATCTATGTGTGCATGGATTTATTTTATTTTAGGAAGCAGATTTGACAACCATGTATAGCTGTGGAATGTTGTAAAAGACTGTTTCAATACACTACTGAGATTACTTCCCCCAACATTCGCTATTCCATGCCTCGAAAATGGATTTGCAATAGAGTAATTTTGCCTGATAAATGCATGCCTGATTTTGTGTACTATGTCAACATCTGCCAAATTACATACAGAAGGACTGGCAGATCTGCGTATCTTGGTTATCGATGAGGCTGGTCAGGCTAAGGAATGTGAATCAACCATTGCCCTTTTTCAGCATAGAGTTCGTTCATAATAAGCTGCAATGGAGGGGGAATCAATGTATGTATGCTATAGTTTTTATTGGTGTGGGGCAAGAAATGTTAAATAATGTAGGTACCCATCTGTTTTTTTTTTTTTTTTTGCCCCTTTCGGTCCAATTTGTTTCCATCAACAATTTTGTGGCCGACGATATAATATCATATTCGACTTAGCATGTGCTTTTTTCTTTTGGGATTAACGTTTATTATGTGACTTCTAATAAAAAGATTAATTTTTAATAAAACAACAGCGAAAAAAAGGATTAAGTCATCGGTTTTGAGAAATGAAGGACAAACTATAAATATTACATTCAAAATCTAATAACTAAATAATAATTTTCTTTTAATGTAGAGATAAAGAAAAATTTTATCTTGATCTATTCTTTTAGATCTTAATGCTGAGTATTTTTTTCGAGTAGATTTTCATGTATCTTAATTGTATGCAGCTTTCCAATTAAGAAACCTAATAATTACTTAATTTGCATCATTAAGTCCAAATTAATGAATACTTGTTCATGATATTTGCTCCTAAAGACCATATGATTAATTTGATACAACAAATCAAATAGCTACCAGGATTGTTGTAATTTACATAGCTAAAAGTGCTTTCATACAAACCTAATGCAAGATCATTCGCATATATATATATATATATATATATATATATATATATATATATCACTTTGGATTGGAAACGAAAGCTATATGGAAAATAACTTAACGTTTAAGTATATATAGTTAGTTCATTGACACCCTAAACATCCAATCAAACCTGAAGTTGGATTCAAATCCCTGCCTTGGGAGTGGAAAAGGCACCAGTTCATGCACACACATATATATAAACATTACCAGCTGTCATGTGAATCGCGAACATAGGGAAAAAAACAAATATGCAAAAACAGAGGTAGGGAAAAAAAAAAAAAAAAAAAACTTACCTGTGAAGAGCAAGGAAGAAGGCACTTAAAATAGACATACAATTGAAAGCTACGAAAAAGAAAAAACTACAGCATGCATGAAGGAAAAAGAACAGGGCAGTGGCCTCATCTTCAACTTTAAACTTCAAATGCAGTTCACTACGACCACAAATTAAATATAACAGAAATGCATAAGCAGTCAAACCATATGCCTTCTCAATTAGAAAAGGTTGGAGACTCACCGATAATAACAGTGGCATGAAGGGGCCTTTTGATTCTCTCTATTGCCTTTTCTCTTATTGGAGAGCAGACAATAAGCTGCAAAATGTTTCAAATGTCAGAGCAATTAAAACCATATGCCGAAGGCAAATGCATTCAGTAGTTAAACACGTACTTATACATGGCAACCTTACACTACAAACACAAAGCATCTCTTTTAAAAAGAAATATGGCCACCAGTATGGAATAGCTAAAAAAAATTGGACAGTTAAAAAGAAACACGGTGAAGCCAAATGTTTTTAGTAGTTAATTTGGTCACCTCAGTTTGGCTATTTTCAACTACTGAACTCGGAGTCGTTTTTTATCATCCGTCAAAGTTGGTTTCAGGGAATCACATCACCAAAGCCAATATCCAACTATTGTAAGTTTTTTATTTTTTTTAACCTTCTTTGCTAGGTTCTGGAACCTTGCTTGCTAAATTGTTCTTAAACATTCACATTCAATAGAAACTGATTTGGCTAACAGATTCGAATTAGAGCAAAGTCCAGAAGCTTTATCAGGGGGAGGCTGAAGGCATCAACATCCAATTTAATTTTCATCCTCAACCTAAATATATTTGTAAATAAATCCCCTAAAGAAATGAATAGAGGGAAAGGGAAATGAGGGAAACTTAGCTAATGGCATGGAGATGTTTAATGAAATGGAAGATGAACCTCACTCCCAATTTGAGCATATGGCAGGAAAAGGTAATATTTTATAATTTTTTAACATTAACTTTCCATCTAAATATCATCCTTCGGAATGCATCCAGGTATCAACTACAAAAGTGATGTGAAGGGAAAGCTACAGGTCCATAAAAAAAACACTCCCTTTGTTATCCTCCTCAAAATATGAATTATGTGTCCAATTTATATAAGTTTGCTAAACTCCAAAACAATTTTCATTTTTTTGTAGGTGAAAAACATGGCGCTATTTGCTGAGAGTGATGTTGTAACGAAAGCCAAAAATCTGACTTCTTCAGCAGCCCATTTTTCCTATAGGCCTCATTAAATCTTGCCAACCCTTTTCTTGTTTTGTTGCTGGGAAGCCATGATTTGGGAGGTCAATATATTTTGTAGATGCCTATCTTCAGCTATCCATTAATCTATTGTAGTGAAATAAAGTATGCGATTTTCTTAAAGTGCTAGTAGTTGCAAACTTCGATGTTAAAACCTGACAGATTTAAGATCATATAGGAAAAGGGAGATTCAATATCACAGTTAATCTAATAACCTCGTTTAAATTCAATGGAGCTGTTGAATCACAACACAACTGATGCAAGAATCTGTGTGAAATGGAATTTCTATGAGATGTTGATTGACATATGAACCAACTATTTTGCAAAGGTGCTATGTAGTCCAAAAAATGGAAAATGATATGAAGATATGGATGACTCTAAACTATAGAATGTGTTCCCTTCATCTTTTAGTGGCTTTCGCAGCATCTGAAAGACATCATTTTTTGTGTTGAGGTAATCGAACATTCTTGATATCGATTATAATCTATCATTAAGGTATTTGTATTTTTCGAAAGGGGAGTGAACGAGAACCATTAAAGTTGCTGAGTATCGAAGGTTTGCAGTAGAGAATTCCAATTAAAGAGAATGAAGAGAAAATGAAAGGCACCAGCTCAAGTTTCAGGAATGAGATCAGCAAAGGAGGATATTACACATCATCTAGAGAGCTCAAGGACCTTTCAACCCCTTCCATATGATAGTTTCAAATCTAATGTTATAATGTTAATCAATGAAGTTTGTTTAAGACATTTCGTCAAACACATATCGCACGACTGCCACAATGAACCCAACATCTACTAAATGACTAACCCTATCCTATATGTGGATTCAACTCGCACGTTCACAGTAAATGCAATAAACTGATTGGAAAAATGAACATATCATTGCAGCAATGTTGATTTCCAAGAGTTGCGATGAAGCAAATGCTTGAATAGAAAAGATACGAACCTGAAATACCAAAGAAACAGGGCAGCACCAAACCAAACCATAGGTGTCACCCAACTGTAGGAAGAGGATGTAGAGGAGAAAAAAAAAACACATGTTAGAGAACGATAACAGCCACCCATACTTAGAAAATGATAAGGAAAGAACATATAAAAGGAAATGGCAAAAACAAAATAAATTAAGCAAATAACTAAATAAAACCCCCCACAAACCCAAGGAGAAGCACTACAATTTAGAGGGAAAGCAACCGAAAACAAAGACTGAAAAAAAAAAAAAAGAAAAAAAAGAGAAACACTGACTGAAGCGGGAGAGGGAAAATGGAAGGAACAAAAGAGAAGGGTGGGTTTTTCTTAAACAGACAAGACTAGTTTTTCTACCCGCGCTATGCCGCGGGTAGGATAAAACACAAAATTATTTTTAAAAAATTATTTTAATTTTGATGTCTCATGTTGTACTATACGTCTATCAAAATATCTTAAATTAAAAAAAAATTCATTTAATTTTTTAATCAAAATTTTATATTTAACTAATTATTGTTTATATTTTTCATAAATTTTTAATTAAAAATTTATTTATTAATTAATTTTTTTTTGTTGGTTAAGCTTTCTCGTGCATGACACGGCAATTGGCCTAAGTGGCTCTTCCGAGAAACCTTTTCTTTATATGCTTTTTGACTTCCCGTTATGTTTAAAACTCAAGTTCCAAAAAATAGTGTTAGACTTTGGTTAGATAATTGATAAAGCTATGTTATGGAATTTGTCTCCCCTCTCATCAATTTATGTGCTGAAATATTTGTAATGGGTCCCGGATGCTTTCTCAACACCTCGTTTATGTGGTTGCAAAACATCAAAGGAGTGATACGCAAAGGAAATTCAGATTTTTGCTAGGAAACCTATTTTACGGATGTTAATTGGTATTTAAATCTCCCGAGTTCCTTTTATGTGCAACGATACACATGGCTTGTATAATACATTTAACAATAAAATTAAGTTAGCCAAACGATCAAGCATCAATCACTAAAACTCATAATTCCTTTTGAATGAAACATATCGGCATTTCGTAAATCGCAACTCCGTTATCCTCTCGATAAAGAGCATTTTGGGCACCTCCTCTAGTTCTTGTTCTTGGCTAGATTCATCAATAGTACATCATCCTTTTCTCTCTCATCCTTATGCGGCCTCTTAAACTCTTCGCAGTGATACGTGAATGCCAAGGAACCTTACACTCGGGCACGGAACATTCTCCTACAATTAGGACACTCGAATTCCCTTATAACCTCTTCTCCATCATCAATTAACATTGCGGAACAATCCTTAGAAGGACAATAAAACTTATGAGACCTAAGAATCGAGCCTCGCACAAAGCATTACCCCATCTTTCGAACATATCTTCTTGTAATATTGAATGGCAACTCTCGGGCTCTAATACGGCTTTACAATCTAGCACATGGCAACAAATTTTACTTATGTTTTCTTGCAACTTGGAGACCACATACTTGATCATACGATCGAGTACGGTAAGCGTGAGTACAAAACTTGATCAAAAATAACTTCTTTAAAGTCATGGGTTTAACATGGATTTCACAAACAAAATGCGGGTCAATTTGAGAATTCGAAGATTGACCATTTTCGATGATCTGAATCTCCAAAAATGGGTTCTTTATGTTTGCTAGGAGTGAATTGAGGCATAAAATCAAGTACCTTTACATCATCATCAATTTCATCATAGTAGTAGAAATACTCTTGAGAGAGATCAACGGAATTTGCTAGTTTGTTGGAGTTAAGAGCGACCATGATAGTGCTTATTGAGCTCTCTATCTTCACTGTACTCTTCAACATTTTGTTGCCTTTCTTCGAAAGAAAGTGACTGCTATGCTAACTTCGGGGAATGGATCCGGAGTCAAATCCTCGTGAGAAACTGGATTACGTGCCTGCAACAACTAATAGTATGGCTAGGTCAAGTTTATCAAACATGATCAAAGGTATATTAATAAAAAAGTCGAGTTCTCAAACTGAATAAATCATCGCCTCATCATCAATTAATCTTAAACCAATTTCACACTATATACACACCTTCTCTATGCTATCAACATCAATTTGTGACTTCAAGTTGCAAATTTATATAGTTGTATTACTATGTAACTATAGAAGGAAAAGAAAAGAAAAAGTAGCGACCCAATCGAGTGGTGTCGAAAGCAAAAGCCACAAAGAGAACAAAACCTTGGGAAGTTGAGGATTTTCTTTAAGCACAAAAGAAGAAAATTCCGATAGCTATAATAAATCATGCATCCATACAAAAAGAAACTAAGAAATCGGTTAAAATATCAACATTTACATTGGTTTCCTTACGGATGACGAAGTAGAACTTATAGCATCATTATCTAGGTCATCCTCATTCTCGGGGATTCGAAGTGGATGAAAGAATGTGAAGAAAGTTTCACAATCCTCAATTTTTATGACGAGGTTTCGTATTCTTTGACCCCATTCTTGGTTTCTTCTTCACAACCTTATTTGTCAAGCATTTTTCGGAAAGAAAATTATACCTACAAACATTTTTCAATAAACAAAATTATATCCACAAACGGAATTATCACGGATTAAAAAAATGAAACAAATAAAGAAAAATGTTACCATCCGAAAAAAACCTCAAGAAACTCATAGGTGACTAATAAAAAAATGTACCTCTTTTATATTTAGGTCGGGACATAATCTTCACCAACCAAACAAGCCGAAAGAAAGAGATGTAATGTTATTCTCTCTCTATAACTTCTTGCTCCCCGGGAACAATTTGAGGCTTTTTCCTCAACATCCGCCAAAGTCTCTTTCGGTTTAGTTCATCAACTAATGACTCACTTCTAACGACATCCAATCAAGGTTGGAATCTCCTCACTCGTAAGAAAAAAAAATAGAGAGAGATAGTTAATAAGACCAAAACCAAATTCATTTTCTTAAATTCTTGATCTACTAAAAAAAATAGGTAAAGACGAGTAGCTAAGATAATTATCCTTATCATCGGTTCTAACACTAAGTAAAGAGTAGATTGGAATCATATAATTCAAAGCACATAATCCGATAATCAAGATACTGCAAGTTTTATATAACATCAAAGCAATTGTACTTGATCGGCAAGAAGAGTAACATTTGAACCAACTACAAATGCCATAACCGTGAATTTATCCGGATTCTCAACTACTATATCCAATGTCCGCAAGATACACAAATGAAAGAACATGTTTACACGAGTTTTTTTTTAATTTGAATACATAAAAGAAAATATTAAAAAGAGAAGAAAAAAGGCAAAATCTAAAGAAAAAACAAAGACAATGCACATTATTGAATGATAATTATTTTTGGTTAAGCAATTGACCCAATAAAAGTAAGGATACCCAACTCTAACAAAGACTATAATCATCCAAATTTAAATTATCATAGAGTGAAAACTAAGAGTGACCCTCCCTGCTTCTTTTAAAGAAAACGTTATCAAGCGAGAACACATGTCGGATAAGCCTCCTATCCTATGAGCTTTTTGCCTAATTGGCTCACTCTCTTTCAAAATATTCAAAAACCAATAGCCAATTAAGTAGAACATTGAGTTTTGTTGATGGCCAAATTATATAATTACACGAATTTCAATAGAACCAGCAGATCCAACAATTGATAGAGGCTTAGGATAATCCTAAGTCTTGTGTCCAAGTTCTTGAACGACTCTTCCTGGCCAAGTCGGAGGTGGGCGATTCTAAACGGAACATTGAAGTCTTCTCCTCTACGGTCCTTCCTTTTTAAATTAAGCCCACTCGTATTCAAGCACTAACCAAAGTTTCGAATTCTTAATTTCAACCACAAAAACAATGAAATTCAAATCAAAGTCTTGAAAAAAGAATCCGTTCTTAAACTCGAAGAGTCACTCAAAAGTCATTTTTATACATAAAAGTAAAAAATTCCTAATTGTTTCAAATGTTTGGCCTTTCTATGACTCCCAAAAGCAAAATTATTCAACTTTCTTCTCCATCACCTTCTAAAAAATCTTTCCTTTTTGTTTTGAAAAAAACAAAAAACCCAAAAAGCAAAGCGAAAAAAAGAAAAAAAAAGGAGTTGAAAAGAAAACCCCGGTAGCCTAGGCGAGTTGTTGGATTTAGTAGAATCCACGAAATAGATAGTCTTGATTTCAGTTGGAGATAAAAAAATAAGTGCCATCTTACGATAGTTAGTTAACCGAGTGGATGAATAATCCTCAAACCTTCTTCTATTTGTAACTCATTAATCCCTTCAATGTTATTCTCAATCCCAATTTATAACAATTTTCCCGGAATAGCAAAATTGAAAATGAAGTACTTGGATAATGATGAATATGATAAATATTACCCATTAAACCGGAGGATGCATGCTCTCCTTGTGGATCAAACCACGCCCATTCATCAATAATTTCTTTCGCTTCTCTCGTACACAATCACCAAGTCCACAAAGAAAAACATATCAACTCGCCAAAAAAGACAATGTAAGAAGCATAATGGGACGCAAATGCATGGAAAGAAAAAAAAAGCAAGCAAGGAAAAAATTTTCCTTGCAAAGTTGAAAGTGATCGATTTTGAACAAAGCATTGAATTCCTCTCCCTCTATGTTCCTTCCTCTTCAAATCAAACCCACTCGCATTAAGCACCACCAAGTACCAAAGTAACTTTTTCATTTCTACCACAAAAATAATGAAATTTAAATCAAACTCTTTAACAAAATTATTCATTGTTAAACTCTCACCTTTTCTATGACACCCAAAGCCAAATTACATATATATATATGGCTCTTTTCTCTTCTTCTTTCCTATTATCAGCAAAAGCTTGATCATTCATCATTTCGAGCTTAAAAATAAGCCTTTTGAAAAGAAGAAGAAGAAGAAGATGTATTGTGAAATTTTAGAAAGAAAGAAAGTTATATATATATCACATGAGATCAATTTTCTTACTTCCAACCTAGCATAGCCATCCATCTTCTTTCTCTCCATCTCCTCATCATTTCTCTCCTCTCTTTACCACGAACTCCATCTTAATTTTTTAAGAGAGAGAAGCGAGTGTCACCTCGAAACTTTACAAGGAGTTCGGGTTTCGGTTTGGGAGGGACGAAGGTGAAAGTGATACCGTGGAACGGAGGAGTTTGTTGAGGAAGGAGAATGAGGGTTCTTTGAAGATGGTGAGGTCGCGGTGGTGGAGATGGATAGAGCGAGTGCGAGCTGTAATTTTAAAGAAAGAGATAAAAGAATTCTAGGTTTTGATGGGTATATTTATTTTAGAGATAAGATTGAAAACTTGGGAAGCACAATCTAATGGTGGAGAAGAGATGAGAAAAAAAATAAACGACAAAGAAGCGACAAGGCAAGATGAACGGGGAAAGGAACAGAGACTTTGAGTGAGTATACGCAGTAAAATGTCTCTATAACTACGAGTGTTTCAAATAGTAAATAAACGAGTAACACCTCGTTTTATTTTAGTGTTTTTGTTAATAGGCAACGATATAAAAATTTGAAAAGAAGAAACCCAAAGAAGTCAAATCAATTTAAAAAAAACGACAAGCAGAGTGCAAAGCAAAGAGCAAATCGATCAAATCGAGCAATAAAAGTGAAGAAAAGACAAGCAAATGAGTGACGAAGAAAACCAAATGAGAAAAGAAAAGAGAACTTACCTAGTTACACCAAAGGTAAAGGTGAAGAAAAAATTACAGCCAAAAACCAACAACTCGACTTCCTCGATAACAATTAAAAGAAGAAGATCGAGATTAGACAACCTGCAGTAACCTAGAAGCAAATAAACCACACGACAACTTTGCAAGGATTAGAAGCCAACCAAAAACAATGGAAAAATAGCAAAAAAAAAAGGCCCTCATAGTTAGAGGAACAAAACTAAATTACAATCCCAACAACAAATGAAGCGGTGGGGTATGAAAAATTTAGTAACACTTATGAGATCCCAAATGCGACAAGAATCAAAACCGACAAAAATGAACAAAAATGAAAAAAAACATGTAAGGAAATGATCGTAAACCATTTAATGCTGCTCAAATGAATAAGGAAAGGGAGAAAAGAAAAGAAAAAAAAACATCGAGCAATATAACCAAAGGAAATAAGGACTAAAATAGAAAAAAAAATCGGATTCGAAATTAAAAGTCAATTAAGGATGAAATTGAATAAAATAAGGGTGCAATTGAATGAAATTGGGGTTGAAATTGAAAGCCAATAGGGATGTAATTGAAATGAAAATCAAGGGTGTAATTACGAGAAACTGAAACATCCAAGAATTAAGTTGAAATTAGGAAGCGAATGATTGGACCTAAACTAACCGAATGAATTGTCGTTCATTGTAACTCATAACCAATTCCGAGATACTATTCATCATATTCATTGGAGCTAAAATTGGAAAATTTTATCTTTTGAATTCTTGGTCGGCAATTATACCAACTAAGAATCATGCTTCAATCGCTACACCTTCGTAAATGAGCATTGCATTTCACAAACCAAGCACTACACATTTCATTTTTGCTCTAATTTTGTTTTGTTCACAAATGATAAAAAAACAACTATTAGTTTTTATTTTTAGCAAGTAAAGGTTTTGATCATTTGTGAATGATCCTAAGGTAGAAATCTAGTAGAGTCCGACTATGAATTGAGACTCATTGTAGGAAGAGGGAGAGATTGGGATTTAGATGAGGAACTTTTAGGTTTTAAATGTTTTTTGGGCTTTTAAATTTTTCAGGTTTGATAATTAAAATGTTTGAATTTCTAGGCAAGAATACTAGTTTTTTAAGGTTTATACAACTAATTTAGTCCTCAATCCTTCAATCTTTATTCCTAGGCA